AGAGAAATCCAGTCTTGAAAACCAAAATCAAAACACAGTATGAACAGGACAAGTTGAGTGTGACAGAGCATGGCTTTAATCCCAGGATCTGAGAGTTCTTGGTCTATGTAGTGAGACCTTGTTTCAAAAGGGAGAGAAGGGGGGAAATGTGTTGTAGATTGAGAAACTTAAGTATAAACAAGGCTAATACATTTCCAGGGCTAGAAACGTTCTACTTTCCTCATAAAATGTTTGCTTGGCTTGCAGAAGGCCTGAACCAGATCCCTAGCACTGAAAAAAAAAAAAAAAAAAAAAAAAAAAAAACTTTCCTTAGGGAAGTTACATATTAGAACAGCAGCCTGAGAAACCTGGGAGAATTACCAGCGGTGTGAGCAAAAAAAGACAAGGTGGTGGTAAATTGACACAGAATGTGCTACACACATGTGTGAAATTGTCAAAACAAATTTAATAATAATAATTAAAAAACATTTTAAAAGGAAAATGGTGATATAGCTTTCCTTTCCCTTTTTTTTCCAGACAGGATTTCACTATATAATAGTCATGGATATCCTGGAACACATTTTGTAGGTCAGGCTAGCCTCTTATCTGCCTCTGTCTCCGTGGTGCTGGGACTAAAGGAGTGCACCACCATGCCCAGTGCCATACAGCTTTTCAATTCATATATTACTAGGCTAGTGATAATTTTCCCCATCTTATAGCAGTCCTCTTACAGTGTATACTTTTTTGGTACCCCATGGCTTATTTTTTTTTAAATCTTTCTTGGCTATGAATATACATGATAAGAGATATAGCTAAAAGACTGAAAGCTAAAGTTGACATGGCTAGTTTTCTTTGAAACAAAAAATAATGAGAGTACTGTTTTCTCATAGGGTTGGGTGTTCTTATAGACATTCTTATAAGGACAGCTATGCCATTTGTAACATGATAATTTTCAAAATATTACAAACAGAATCTAAGAGTGCTGAATCTCACACAGAAAATGCTTGTTAGAAATTTTGCTTTTATTTCTGCTCTTTGAGATGTTGCAAATTATTCAGGAAAAATTAATTCATAGTATTTATTACCCAAAACAAACAAAACCACTGTGGACTGGTGAGGTGGTTGTGGACAAAGGTGCCAGCTGCCAGATCTAATGACTCCTGGGACCTACATGGTAGAAGGAGAGACTCATTCCAGTCACCTTTTGACATCCACAATGTGCCATGGCTTAGTTGACACTCACTCACTCAATAAATAAAGTTTCATAGAAACTACTCAGGCTAAAATAAGCCCAACTCCAACTTAATCTAATACAGATTATGTGCTATTCATTCAACAGTCCCAAATTATACCAAACTGTACATCCATAAACTAAAGCCTAACAAAAGCTTACAAAAGCCAAAAAAAAAAAAAAAAAAGGGATAAACTATACCATACTTTGGGCTTTTCTATCTAAATTTCATGATTAACAACTATTTAACAGTAATTTGACTCTCCAGCTTTTTTTTCTATTCCATTTGAAAAATGTAAAATTCTAAATAGCAACATTTTCAATGAGCAATTAAAATCTTTTCTCTAAATTTATACAAAGATATTTTACTTTTTCTTGGCAAGCACAGGATGTTTTTTCTTTTTTTTCCTAAAACATTTCATAGGAACTCTGCATTGCAAAACAGTTGCAAAGATGCAAAAGCAATTTCCTACACTGCATAGGCCAGTCTCTTGGCACTGGCCTTTCTAAGGTGTTTGCATACTACCTCTGAGCAAAGGAAAGCAGGGAAGTGCATCTGCTCCCCTGGCTTCATCAGCATCATCTTGGCTGCACCCCAGTTCTGAAACATGTTTGTATTTGCTGTCCTAAGCATGCCCTTCATACTCCACCTCTCATGTGTATCAAAGGAACACAAATCTTGTCTGGGTTCATCATATCTTCAAATCAAAGTTCCCACTAATGAGTTGAACCTAATTATACCCACATAGAGAACTGAGCTCAGTAAAAATGTAACAGACAACAATGGCTAGTTTATAGTGTAGGCTATACCAAAAGTGTTTACACAGCAATCAAAATTTAGTGGGAAAATTACTGAAAGTTTCCTGACCAGGCACTATGCCACTTCACACTAGTAAAGTCTGTAAAACCCCAATTCCTAGTATAGAGAGGGTGGCAGTTTGATATATTGGCAGGTAAAGCCTTTTATTTTTATTTCTTATACTGGCAACTGAATTCAAGGTTTATGTACACTAGGCAAAAACTCTATCAACTGAACTACAATTCAAGACACAGACACAAACACACACTCTTAAGAGAGGGATGAGGTGGCCTTGACTCCTGATCCTCTTAGTTTATTCTGAGTGACAGGATTACATGTATAAACCACCTTGCCCAGATTGAAATCTTTGTTTTTGTATGTTATATCCCAAATCTAGTTAATGTAACAGAAAATAATAATCTGGGCCAAGATGTCACAATCTACTCATACTATGAAAATGTACTAGTTAACCTTAAAAAATAGAAGACAGAGAAGACATCTTTTAAGTTAACGGCCATGCTAGTTACAATAAATACCACACATTACATTAGGCTGGGAAGCAAAATCCCAGCAAAGATTTTTAACAAGATAGTTAATGGAGACTGGGATTGAATCCAAAGCCTCCTGAATGATAGGCTGCTCTGCCACTAAGTTATAGCTTAATGTAGCACTTTTCTAAGACAAAATAATAAGGGCATCCATTAGAACATCTGGGTTTAACAGTTTCTCAATAGCTGTTCAATTCTCACTCTGAGAAAAGTCATGACAATGTCACAATCAGTTACAGTTAAGTTTTAATGTGCTGAAGACTTACAAAATCAACATATTTATAAGCAACTGTGTAGCATGAGCAGTAGCTTTGAGGAATGAGGATGCTACTGAAAATATTTCTCTGATTGCACCAGCCAACTCTGCCACTGCAATAGTGAAGGCTCCTTCTGCCTTACAGTATCTACTTTACCATAAAACTGATTTTTCTTTATAACTAAGCAACTTTGAGAACTGATAAAGGGAAATGAAAATACAATTTCTCTCTTTAATTTCACAACAATGTTAGGATGTTACCTTAGCAGAGAACTCTTTATTTCAGTTGAATTCAGCAAATTTTCATACATCAAAAATTTTACTCAGCTAAATTTGGCTGGGTGAGGTAGTGCATGTCTGTAACCCAAACACTCAGGAGGCTGACATTAGAGAATCAGTTAAAGGCTAGCCTGAAAAGACTTAAAAAAAAAAAAAAAAAAAAAAAAAAAAAAAGACCAGAGCTAATATGAAAACAAGTTCTTTAAAGTTCCCAAGCTGTCAGCAAAAGCAGAAAAATAAACAGCAATGCTACATAAAATTCTTCATCTAAAGATCGTCCTTACTAGTCTACCCTCTGACAGCCTCAAAAGAATAAAACTAAGAATTCACCTATTTGAGGAAATTGTTATTCCCCTGAGCACTCATTCAATGGCATGACATACAGTCCATTTACACAAACCAATTTAAAAGCTTGTTGCAATCAGCAAATGATCAACTCATGAAGATTAAGCAGATGCTTGTTTGGAGTGGAAAGTAATTTAAAGTTGGTTGGAAATGTCCAACAACTTAGCAACACCTATGTGATGAGCCACAAAAGGAAAACATGAACCTCAGTTAAAAGTCAAAGGTTCCAAGGAATCATGTTACCATTTCTCATTTCTGTGAAAGTGAACACAAATTTGAGGATCAATACTTTTCTGGCAGAATTATGGCTTTGGTACTATGTCTTCTAGAAAAAGCACCTGTGTGCTGCTTGCTCACTGTTCCTTTTGTTAGCAGCCAGTTGCAATCTCCCCGTACTACCCTTATTTTTCAGGCGCACTATAGAAAAAAAAAAAAAATCATTCATGCAAAAGTCTGCAAAATAGCAGTAGAATACCAGTCCTGGAAAAGATGTCAAAATTACCTCTCAGGTTTTTGTTTGTTTGTTTGTTTTTCCGAGGTAACCCCAATCCTAGAGTTACCAATGGGAAGATCTTGTCGGTTCCTGGACTGTTGGTGTATGTGCCCCCTTAACCCAGGAATTTCCACGAACCATATTTCCACCCTGTGGCCAACATGCAGGTCAACTCAAGCCGTACACAAGTGTTAACAATTCTCACTGAATTATCTGTAAAATCCAAGCGTCCAAAAAACCTCTTGCAGGTTTGAAAGGTATTAAACCCTATCTGAAGATTTAAACTTGTTGGACATCTAAACCTTAAGAACAAAGCACAAAGAGAGTAAACCACTCGCCTCAGAAGAAATCTGAGTGACATCTTTATTTTCAGAAATCACTACCCTCCTTCAAACATCACTTCCTCTTCATTCGCCTCCCCCCAGTCCCTGGAAATCAGTGATGCATACTCGCTCCCGGCAGTCCAGATTCTTAAAAAGATCACAAACAAGAAAGCCCTATAGCCCACATCCACTACCCAGGGATCTTCGACGCCTTAAAAGACACCTACCTGTAAAAGAGCCAAGGCCCTAAATTAGATCCCCCAAGGGCTCCTTTTTCTTCCTAGACTGTTTCTCTCTAACCTTTAGGTTAAAAGACTTTCCATCTGACCCATCCCTTTCCAGCCAACCCTAACTCCGGCCCTTTAAAGCCACCATTCCCACCGGGTCAGGTGGCTGTCAGTCCCCACCCGGCTGCCTTGCCCTCGCGCCGGTTTCAGGCGGCCCGGAGCCAGTTCTTTCCATCCCTCACCTCCACGGCCACAGCCCAGGGCACCTCCTCCTCCGGGTTAGGATTCCGGAGCCCCCTTCACCCAGCTGGGCTTCCAAGGCCCAGTCCCTGCTCCTCGCCCCTCGTTGCCCGCAGGTCAGCTCAACCCCCTAATATCCTCTGGATTCCATTCCAGAGCGGCCTTCCCTGGGCCCCCCAACCGTCTCCCCGCGGCCCTTAGAGCCCCTGGCTCTCCACTCACCCTTGGCTGCAGGCGCCCCCCAATCTTTCCCCTCTCCTCAGCCTCGGAGCCCGCTCACCTCCGCGGTGGGAGCCGAGCTGCCCGGACCCAGCTCGGAGCCGGCGTCCGGGGCGCCGTCGGAGTCCGGAGTCCTCGGCGCGTTGGCGGAGAGCTGCGCCTCGAGAGGCAGACGCAGAGTCCGGGGAGGGGAGCCGGAGCGCAGGCGGGAGCCAGCTCGGCTACGCGCGGGCATCGCTCCGACCCCGTAGGCGCTGCGCCGCCAGCAGCGGCCAGCCGAACCGGAACTGCTTCGGGGGGCGGGGCGCTATCGGAGAAGGGGAGGGGCAAAGACCGGAAGGGAGCAGAGGGAAAACAGGAGGTGAGGGTGAGAGCGCAGGCGTCAGGCCCAAGGCCAGGCAGTCAAGGGGTCCTAATGAAAATACAAAAGAGTTTTTGTGGAGTTGCTGACTGGGCTAGGGGGTCTAGGAACAGACTATTCTGAGTCCTTTTAAGGGACTAGCTCCTCGTCAGCCAGTTCCCAAGTAACATCATTTATTGCTCCTTTATTCTCTATGAGACTATAATCGCAATCCTTTCAACTCTGCAAAGTAGATCTCACACAGACAGAAAAGGCAAGAAACATTGTAGCCTGACATAGTACAGTCAATATGTATCCAAGCTGGCATTCTAAACCCAGACTGTCATCAGAACCTGTGTTCTTTCCTATCACTACTATGCACCACCCTAAAGGAATGGCCCCTTCTAATCCAAGTGTAGGACTGCCAGAAACCACGTCCAAAGCCATCTGCAGCTTGCACTCTGGGTCCTCTTTGGCTCTACTTTATTGAACAATGCAGGACCAGCTTTGGTGTTTCTGAAGGGGTTGGGGACAGGTTCTGAGGTGATAGAAGGGTAGTCATGGGTGCCTGATGTGGCCTTTCCCTTCAATCTAGAGTAGGGTTAGCCAGGAATCTGCTCAGTGTCCTCATACCCTTCAAGGTATCCATGAAGCAACATGAGACAGTGAAAGACATCTCATCTCGTAATCCCTTGCAGGCAGAGACCTCTCACATCCTTAAAATGTTTCTAATGGGGGTAAATTTGTAGTTCAGTGGTTAGAGCACTTGCTACTCTTGCAGGAGACCTAAATTTAATCTTCTGTACCACATGACACCTCACAACCACCTAGAACTCTAATTCAAGGGAATTCAACAATCCCTTCTAGCCACAGCTAGCAGTGAATGCATTTGACACAGGCATATGCAAACAATCAGACAAAATAGTTTTTAAACATATTATTTTATAAGTATTTGCCTGCATGTATGTCTGTGCCCTTAACTACTGAGCCATCTCTCTAGTACCAATACTATTTTTCTTGTTTGTTTTTGTTTTTGTTTTTGGAGATAGGGTTTCTCTATGTAGATTTGGAGGCTGTCCTGGAACTCACTCTGTAGGCCAGGCTGGCCTTGAGATCACAGAGATATGCCTGCCTGTGCCTCCTGAGTGCTGGGATTAAATGCATGTGCCGTCACTGCCCTGCAATAAAATATCTTTATTTATAAAATAATAAATCTTAGTCAGCCAGTAGTGTCACATGCCTTAAATCCCAGCATTTGGGAGGCAGAGGCAAGTGGATCTCTGTGAGTTTGAGTCCAGACTGGCCTACAAAGTGAGTTCCAGGACAGCCAGGGCTGTTACATAGAGAAATCCTGTCTGGAGGAAAGAAATAATAATAATAACAACAACAACAAACTTTTAAAAAAAATGTTTCTACTGCCAGGTTCTTTGACTCTCAGAACCCAGGGCAATTTTTGCTCACCTCTCTTTGACATACAAGGTCCCATCAGCTTTCTCTTTTAAAGAATCAGCTATTGCCTGGAGAGATGGCTGTGTTAAGATCACTGGCTGTTCTTCCACAGGTCCTGAGTTCAAATTCTCAGTAACCACATGGTGGCTCACAACCATCTATAATGGGATCTGGTGCCCTCTTCTGTCATGCAGTTATACATGCATACAGAGCACTATACATAATAAATAAATAAATCTTAAGAAAGAAAGAAATTAGCTATCTTTGTTATAGAACCATCATTCAGATCTTAATTTCTGGGTACACCATGTTTCCTCCATGTCTTCTCCCTAAGTTTCTCTGACCCCACAACTCAGATAATAGCCCCTCTTCCCCATCTAATCCAGAGCCTTTGGTATCCCACACAGTTTGTAGCCCAAAGTTCTCTTCTAACATTCATCACTCAGTGCTTTACCTATGTCCTCAGAACCTAATAATCTATGCAAGGGCTCTAAACCTATGACTTAAACTATTTTGAAGCACCTACTATATGTTAGGCACAGTGAATCTTTTGTTTTGTTTAACTCTTGAAACAATTCTCCAGGGCAGCTATGTACTTAACTTTACAGAAGAAACTGATGGAGGTGGAGAAAGACAATGACTTGTAGGGTTCTAATTCCACATTCTCAGAGACTTCAGGGATGAGAGTTGGCATAAGAGAAATAGGTCTTGCCTTCTTTGGAGGCCCCTGGGACTTGCTGAGTCACTTTGTCCCACCTGTCACTGCCAATCTTTGGGAAGAAGAAATGACACAGGAGGGCAGAGGAGAGTGAGCTGAAGGCAGAGGCAGAGGGGTAGGCAGTCTGGCCCATGGCTAAGGCCTCCATCCCAAAACTGGGGGAAGAAAAGGAAGCCACACCTTGCCCCAATGTCCTGCAGCTGGAAGAGCTCCTGAGGGCCGGGAGAGCCTCTTGCAGCGGCATAGATGAAGTTTGGCCCAACCTTTTCATAGGAGATGCGTGAGTGACTGCTGACAGGGTTGTAGGAGTGGGTCAAGGAGAACTAATCCTGAACTCTTTACCAGAGGAGGTGGCAGAGAGGGAACAAGAACTCCTTGCTTATAGCCCATCTTGGGCCAGCAATTTTCTCAGGACTCCTAAGTGCCAGGAGCGATTCTAACAGCAGGGGGAGCTTGAGTATTTTGGTTTTGTTTCTTGGGAAGGTCTGAGGGAGTTCCTGGCTGGAAGATCCCTGGGGTCTTCAGGCACATCTTAGACAACTGGCCAGTCTGGGGAAGCAATAACATTTGGAATATGAAATGACATAGACACAGATCATACATTCTGGCTCCAGCTTGCCTCTTGGGGACACTGAGTGGGTGGAGAAACCTGACCTAGGATGAATCAGGAAAGGTGTCACTTCCAAATATTTGTAGATTAGTAGCAAGTATGATGTGGTGACTAAGTGACTCTAGATGATGTATATGAGTAAGAGGACATGTGGCAAGAAGGGAGGGGCAGCTAGTTCTCAGGGCTGAAGCAATCTCTTCCTGCCTTTGGTGGGGTCAGGCTGCCTGAGACAGCAAAAGAGATCTAAACATAGCCCTCACACTACGCTACCAAGTAGCCAATAGAAAGCTCTGGGGCTGGGACAGAGAGCTGCAGACCCAGCTCAGTATAGATGAATTCTAGCTCCCTTTCTACCCTTATAGCTTTACCCTCTTCAAATCAGATCAAACAAAGCTTCCTTCCTAACCCAGAGGAGGCTCAGCCCATACCCAGGCCCCTTTCTGTCCTTCCCAGGGCTACGGCAAATAACTGCTTTGAGCTGTGGAAGTTGGGGATCACCCATGTGCTGAACGCCGCCCACGGGGGACTACTCTACTGTCAGGGAGGCCCTGACTTCTACGGCAGCAGTGTGAGCTACCTGGGGGTACCAGCCCACGACCTCCCTGATTTTAATATCAGCACCTACTTCTCCTCAGCAGCTGACTTCATCCACTGTGCCCTCAACACACCTGGGGGTAGGACTTGGGGCTGAGTCCATTCTGCTCACTTTTGGGGGGCAGATCCATTTCCCCTCAATCCTCAGCATCCTCCCAAGACTGTGTTTTTTGTTTGTTTGTTTTGTTTTTGTTTGTGTGTGTGTGTTGTGTGTTGCATTTGTTTTTCTCTTTTTGTTGTTGTTGCTTTAACAATCTTCTGCTCTATGCCTCAGCATCTTATCTGTCTGCTTCACAGGTGCTGAAAGTCAGTCGCATGCCTTTAATCCTAGCACTTGGGAGGCAGAGGCAGGTGTATCTCTGCAAGTCCAAGGTCAGCCTAGTATACAGAGTTAGTTCTAGAATATCCAGGGCAACACAGAGAACCCCTATCTCAGAAACAAAGCAAAACAAAACCAACACAACATTTGGAGAAAGTAAGGCCAAATTGCAAAGCCAAAATAAATGCAGCTGGAAGCCAGGTTTTGCAAACATTAGAACAATTCTTACTTTGCAAAAGCCCTGGGAAAGCACCACATGGTACCCAGAGGTCCACCCTAAAGTACCTCCAAATGAACAAAACAAAACACCCAGGATACAACGGGCCTTGAGAGGCCTTGGGGTCCTTTCTTCATGTTCATCTTGGGAAACAGCCATGCCCCTTTTCCATGTGACCCTAGACAAGACAAGCCAGTGTCCTCATTTTTTTTTTTTTTTTTTTTTTTTTTTTTTTTGTGATGAGGGATTTGGCAGGGTTCATGTTGCTCTTTATTGATATTCTTTTTTTTTTTTTTGCAACTGTTCATCCATCACCTAGTCATTATTCACTCTGTGTCAGGTAAAGAACTTAAGTAAGTCAATGCCCCTACTCTTGTAGAACCAGAGCTAATCAGTGACATATCCTGAGTGTTAATGATATGAGAGAGCAAATGTGCAGAGCTACGTAAACACCCAATCCAAAGGACCATTGTGTCAGGGATTTCCCTCTACAGCAGTTTCCCTATGTAACATGCAGCAAGGACTAATTGCTTGGTGACTCAAGGGATACCTTCAGTGGTGAGGAAAGCTGATGTGACTTGATTGATGAGCAAAGGCCAGTCAGATCAAGATCAGAGGAAAAGGCCAGAGGCTATGACAGTTCCAAGGCACTGAAAGTCTGCCTGTGTTTACAAAGCTGAGGTTTGGAGTAGGTTCTGATGACCAAGGTGAGGTGCATGGTCAGGATCTCTAGTCCTCGAGGCTTGTTTTTATTTTTTTGAGACCTCTGTTTTTTGGTTTTGTTGTTGTTGTTGTTGTTTTGTCTGTGTAGTCCTGGCTGTTCTGAATTAGATGGCAGGCTAGTCTGGAACTCAGAGATCTACCAGCTTCTGCCTCCTGGGTGCAGGGACTAAAGGCATGCACTACCACCACCTGCCTCAAAGGCTTTTTTTTAAAGTCATGTTGAGGGTTTGGAATGTAGTTCAAGACAGATGTTAGCCTATGCATTTGAAAGATCAGGTCCTGGCTTACCTCATGCTGCACCAGCAGCTGTCCTTGCAGCAGGCAGTGATCACTGT